CTCGCGGGGCCCGGAGTGCCGGTCGCAGAGGAGGACGAGGAGATGCGAGCGAGAATCAGCACGAGGAATATATATATATATAGGCTGGTTCGTCACCAATCCATGTGTGCTGAAGCTTTCTGTACAAATTGTTGCCACGTCGTGATTTCGTAAAAGAGGCGAAGGAAGCGTCGGTGGTGGACGATTGGCGAGGCAATGCAGGAAGGCGGCGAAGACAGGAGAGTAGTGGAGACCGAGGCACTCGCAACGCAAGTTGCCAAGTGTGCAGATAACGTAGAGGATCCATGGGCAGGCGCATACACACACACACACACACACACACACACACACACGCACGCACACACACACACACACACACACACACACACACACACGCACGCACACACACACACACACACACACAGACAGACACACACACACACACACACACACACGCACGCGCGCGCGCGCCCGCACACACATGTTCCTCCGACCGCGCTGATGACGGCAGCCAGCGGGCAACGTAAGCAGAGGCGGGATGCAGGCTTGGCAAATGTACCACCCTTGTGTGACAGCGCGCACAGACGTGGTAGCATTGGTCCGGGAGAAATCTCCAAACAGCAAAGACGAAGGATGCATGGAATCATGTCTTATATCTATACATGTGTGTATATACATACTTGTACAAATACACACGCAAGACACATACACAAATACACACATACGGACACACGTATGCCAATGGCGGCAGAAGAGCCACTAGCACAATCGTCCCTGAATTCAGATGACGAAATCTGAATTATCGGGTGCACCCGGTAAGAAGGCAACGAAGGAAGAACAATCTCCTACGACGTAAAGAATCGTCAAGGAAAAACGTAACTTCATCAAAGGTGCAAAATACGGTAACGGGGCACCTGCACAGTACGACGTCTGGACTCCATTCAGGCCCTCTGAAAGATAATGCGTCAGCCCTCAGTGCCAAAAAAATATGGATCGCACCCTTCCTGGATCGAAGATCAACGGCGCCTCGGGAGACGCCAATGCGGTACAGTGCACACAAGTCGTCCGCGGAAAATAAGCTAACAACTCGCGTCCAACCTATCAATAAAAAACAAGCCTTTGGAAACTGTGTGTGCGTGGTGGCCGTGGTTACGTACAGGAACAAGGAGAGGCGGCACCACCAGCACCAGGGCGAGAAGCCTCCTGGTGGTGTGGTCCCCCCCTCCCCGCTCGAAGCAGCCCATGTCCCCAGCTCGGGGAGGCATCGTGGACTCCTCGCTGGGGTAGGGGAACAAACAGCTGCACAAACAAACGATCGGAGGTCCGCGCGGATCTAAGACGCCTACGGCGAGTCACCGCCATGCCGTGCCTTTTTTGAAGCGCCTGGCTACGTGGCCGAACGTTTGCGGCCAGAGCTCGGCCACAAACCAGCTGACTATGTGTCCCCCCTGCCGTCGTGAGAACCCTTCGGGGGGCACGTAGGGGAGAGAGAAGAAGAGGACGGAGGGAGGAAAAAAGAGCAGGAGGAGAACGACGAGGCCTCGTGGGAGCCTCTCGGAGCGCTCTTGGGGTCTCCTGGGAGCTTCCTGGGGGTCTCTTGTGGAGGCCTCTTTGAGGCCTCGTTGGATCTCTTGGGGGCCTTTGCGGGGTTTCTTGGGAGCCCTTCCAGCAGTCTTAAAGCGTGCCTGGCCCGTCTGACGCCGTGCAGAGTGGTGGCCACCGTCTCGGAGCCTTCTTAGGGCGCTGGGGCGGTCTTGGAGGCCGTCTTGGGCGTCTTCGAAGCCTCTTGGGCCGCCTTGGGGCCCTCTCGAGGCCGTCTTGCGGGCCTCTTGGGCCGTCATAGGGGCCTCTTTGGGGGCTTCTTGGGCGCTCTGGGGGCGATCTTGAGGGCCGTGTAGGGCCGTCGGAAGGCCAAAAAAGGCAAATGCCAAATCACCAAAAAGCCGTTGGAAATTCATTATTTGGGCCTGGAGGAGCTCTTGGAGACCTCTTTGGCTGTCTTGCATGCGTTGTGGGGGCCTATTGGACCGTCTTGGGCCATCTTGGAGACATCTCGGGCCGCCTTGACTACGTATCGGGCCGTCTTGGAAGCATCTTGCGGCCATCTTGGGCTCTCTCGGGGACGTCTTGGCCGTCGTGGAGGCCATCTTGGGTGTATTTGGTCCGCCTTCGGACAAGATTGGAAGCCTTTTGGGCCATCTTGCGGCCATCATGGAGGCGTCTTTGGCGATCGTGGGGCGATCTAAGGGGGCCTCTTGGGCCGTCTCCGGCCGTCGGAAGCAGAAATGAACCAAAAGCTGAAATCCTTTAAAAGCCGAACAACAATCAGTATGTTTGGCGTCTTCGGGCCTTCCTGGAAGACCGCCTGGAGGCCTCATGGGCCGCCTCGGAGGCCTCTTGAACCCTCTTGGACCGTCTTGGGCCCATCTTGGGGCCATCTTAGGCAGTCTTGAATGCACGTTGGGCCGTCTTGGAAACATATCGGGGGCATCTTGGGCGCTCGTGGGGTTATATTGGCCGTCTTGGAGGCCATGTTGACCGTATTGGAGGCCTCTTGGGCCGTCTTTAGGCCCTCTTGGGGCCGGTTTGAGGGCCTCTGGGGTCGTCATAGGGACCATCATGGATGCCTCTTGGGCAATCTTGGGGCGATCTTGGTGGCCTCTTGGGCCGTCTGGGGCCGTCGGAAGCCGAAATGGAGCAAAAGCTGAGATCATGCACGATCGTTATGTTTGGCGCCTTCGGGCGAAACATATGGGGGACATCTTGGGCCCTCTTTGGATTATGTTGGCAGTCTTGGAGGCCATCTTGAGCGCGTTGGAGGCCTCTTGGGCCGTCTTCAGGTCCTCTTGGGGCCGTTTTGATAGCCACTAGGGCCGTCATGGGGCCATCGTGGAGGCCTTTTGGGCTTGGTGCAATCTTGGTGACCTCTTGGACCGTCTTGGGCCGTCGGAAGCCGAAAAGTAGCAAAAGCTCATATCTGTCCAAAAACAAAACTGAGCAACAAGCACACGGTTTTGGCCTCTTCTGGCCGTCTTTTGGAGATCCTCTTTGAGGCCTCTTGGGCCGTCGAAGGCGATCTTGAGGCCATCTTGGGCCAGCTTGAAGGCATCTCGGCCCGTCTTGGAGACGTCTTGGGGCCACGTGGGGCTCTCCTGGGGCCATCGTGGCCGTCCTGGAGATCCTCGTGGCCGTCTTGGAGGCCATCTTCGAGCCGTCTGGAGCGGGAAGACCGACGACCTGGAAATTTGCAGGTCCTTCGCGCAGATTTCCTGGATCCGCGCCGGACCCCCTTCCGTGGCGCGCGGAGCGCGCCAGGGGCAGCCGGCGGCGCCGCTAGGGGGGCCCCAGCGCGGAACCAAGAAATCCGTGCGGAGCGCCAAAAGTTTATGTTTATTGTGTTTTTGTTTCTTCTTCGAGACCTGGAAGGTTACGGGTCCTTACGGTGCGGAAGGGCCAGTGGAGACCGAGGTTCGTGCAGCTCTCCCAGTGGCCCGCGGGGTTGGCCGAAGGCCCCTGGGAACCTTTGCTGGGAGGGCGAGGCCTGAGGACGCCTGCAGGCGCCATCCCGTGCCCGCTTCTGTGGTACCCCCCCATGGGAACCCTCAAAACCAAAACCTACCCAACATTCAGCACACCGTGCACACCTGTGGCAAGCCACAAGGGGCGGCGGATTTCTTGAAGAGGCGCTGGACCCTCGCTGGCGCGCCGGTCACGCCAGGGGCGGCGCCGGGGGAGCCGCCAGCGGGGCCCAGCGCCGATCCAAGAATCCGCGCGGACCTCCGAGAAATGAGAAGTCATGGTTATTACCGCTTTTGTCTCCATCCTCGGTGCAGGGCGCACCCCTGATGGTGCTGGTGTCGCCCTTCTCTCCTCCGACCACAACCATCTCAGCATCCTGTCCGATGTGGAGATCCACATTCGCGAGAGCGCGCGCGGTGCGATCGGTGGGTCGCTCCATGCAGGGGCGCGGAGCCTGGTGCAACGTGACGGGGGAGGTGCTCTTCCAACGGGGACGTGTGCGGTCCGAGGCGCTGCGAGGCGTGGGGCTTTCCGCAGCCACTGCCTGGGGAATCGAATATCCCTGGCACCTCAGGGGGTGCTCCACCGCCTCCCCTGAGATCCGATGTTGCAAAGAAAAACTGCAACATCGCAAAAAACACACGACCGGACCCCAAGACGCCATCTTTCTGCGTCATTTTTCGAGCCGGATCGATCTGTGAGGGTCCCGGGGCCCGACATTGAGCGAAAACGCCCGGCTCTGGAGAGTTGAGTCGCCAGGATCTCAGGGTCCCGAGGTCCAGGAGCATCCCACAAGCACTGTGCTTGCGCTGGCAGAGGCTCTCACTTGCGCCCAGAGAAGCTGGGCGGCTTCCGCGAGGATGCTCCACCTCGTGCGCCAGGGGTGGCTCCGACGAGGCCTCGCCACGTCAGCTGTGGCCGCCTCGTGCGACGCCGGGGTGGATCTGACACGGCTTCGCCAAGCTGCCATGAAGAGGTTCTTCGAGCTTCATGGCTGTTGGCAGGTCCTGGCCATCGCTCGGACGTCCATCCCCTGTTTTTTTTCCCGGTGTCGTGCGTGGCTTTTTCGCCAAATGATCAAGGATGCTCCTCGATGGCCCTCGCCGAGGGAAAAACGCACACGTCCGAGCGATGCCAAGGGTCTCCTGGAGATCTCGGAGCCTGCCAGAGCCGCTCTGCCCGTGGCCTGCAGAGGAGCCGCGGCCGGCTCCTGGGCCACCCTCCTGCGCCGGTGGGGCCCGGCGGGGTGTCGCCGCCTGGTGGCCGCCTCCAGCAGGCACCACGCATGCTGCACCACACGGCTTGCACCACGTGGCTTGCACCACACACCTCACACAACCACCATGCAATACAGTCGGGGCCTTGACCCCAGGAACCCCAAATAAGGAGCGAGGCCCCTCTTTTCCATAAGTTGAACTTCGATTTCGTATCGAAAACCTAAGAAGGACATCCGAGGCAAGCTGCGAAAGAATTAAGGAACACGAAGCCCCTGCCCAACGAAA